CCCCTGAGACGCGTCCACACAAGCACGCACGTGCAGTTTGCGGCACTGCAGGCTTGATACCGGCATGTCCTGGTATCCGGAAAAAAAAGAAGCCGCCACAAAAAGTGGCGCGGCTCGTGTAGTAGCAGTGTGCGCCGTCGGAAACGGAGCCGTGCTCCACGCAGCTGGATGGGTGCCGCTGCTGCCCCAGGAGGCCCCCAGGACCCGGTTTGCCGTGGGCCACAGCACGCGTGCAGGGGCGCGCCCTGGGGCACAAAGCAGCAGCGCAAATATATGCCACTGCTGCTTGTGCTGGGGCAAATGCACACCCCTGCATGTGGGAATGTGCTCCTGAAGGAACGGAGTGTCCATCTGCATGCAAACTGAGCCTAATTGGGGCCCCTTTCTAGCTCTGCTGCACCCAGCCTCCTTCTGGAGAGAACCGTGGCCCCTGCTACACCTTACGTCTGTGACAGAGTGCACGGGTGAGTCGTGCAATAAATGTGGGCTGGCCACATGCACCAAGTCACAATCGCATGTTTTGCTGGCAATAGATGTAGACTGGCCACATGTGCAAAGTCATGTTTCCCCACAAAAGCGTCCATCCAGCTATAAAAAGAGCCAACCAGCTTGCAAACATGTAATGACTCTGAGCTGATTTCTATCCAGCTTTCATTTGAATATGGAGCAAGGCCCTATTCTGAGACCCCATGTGTGCAGACAGTGCTAGCTTTGTCCCAAAGGTAATAGTCACGGGGCCTTTGTGTGCTTCTACTCTGCTCTGAGTCTCTTGTGCCACAATGAGAGAGAGATTGGGGTAGCGTTCCCTTAAATGTAACGGGTCTAAGTTGCCCTAGCTTCTCCTACTGGGGGGTTAACTGAAGCTATGTGCATAGTTACTGTAGAGCAGCCAATGCCTGATAAGTTTCTATCCCCTGTTAATAATAGCAAGTAGGAGAACAGCTTGTGCACCTGCAATTACACTGGGATAAGTGAAAACTAAACCAGGGCAGTTTTGCCCTGTTGCATTCAAGGGTAAGCTGCCCTAGTTTAGATCTCACCATGAAATAATGAGAGCACAAGGAGAGTTACTGTGGAGCCGCTGCAGTGTGGTAAATCCATGCACACAAGTCAAGGCACATACCATGTGCCTTTAAACAGGGAGTAGAGGTGTACTGGAAGGGCAGTAACTATTTGTTTGCCTGTAGGTAAAGGAGCTAAGTTGCTGTGGTTTAGTTCCCACTCGCAGAGTTAGTACAGGCAGAGGGATAAGCTTAGCGTGGAGCAGGCACAGTAAAAGTCTGTGAATTGTAGGCTAAGGGAATGTAAAGGTTTTGTAGGACTTATGACTGCATGTGGGGGTGCAACCAACCCCTAGTCTTGGAACAGTTGCCCTGGCTTACGAATGTGACAGAACACCTTATACCACTATCATATCTCTATGATTTAAATTATGTGCATCCACTCCTGTGGCACTGTAAGGGGAACTACACCACTAAACTAAACCTGAATGCAGCTTCAGTGACTTTGTGCTCTCCTACCCAGGTAAAGGGAGCTAGATGGTAATAAAATCAGAACAAATGATGCATGACCCTAAGCAGCAAATAGGTCACTTCCCCACCCCACTTTCCCTTTGTAACACAGTAGAAAGTTGCATTTGTTTAATGTCTCTGCTTCATAATGTTAGGTAAAGTCACATATGCCTTTGAAGCAGCAGATTCTCTAGTATTAGTTAACTGATGTTAAGGATATGTTTGATATTTTTTGAGGCTAAAGACATTTTAAATCGTTCTGCCATAAGAGCTAATTTCCTCTCTTCTTCAGAATATTGGTGTCTTCCTTTTCTGAAGAGCAGCTGAATCGCTACGAGATGTATCGTCGTTCTGCTTTTCCCAAGGCTGCTATTAAACGGGTAAGGCTCTGCTGATATTCAGGCTGCAGAGTGAGGGATCCCACTTACTGCACATGTAGAAATACAGAGCAAAATGCATTCTCTTTGCTTTTTCATGTCCTGAGAAGGCATTTAGCAGAATTCAGATTTGTTGGAATCTGACAGGGATGTGCCATGAGCACTTCTGCTATGGCCTGCATGAAGGCAGTAGATTGACTATCACTACAAGTCTGGTCAGTCTGAATAGATGAGATTTGAATGGCAGAAGAACTGCCAACCCAGCTGCCTTGTTACTGGCTTTTTGAATTGGTTCCCATCCTCTTCTCCCATTGACTTCAGTAGTTGTTGCTCAAACGTAATATTTTTTTGGTAAGAATCTATACAGTTTTAGTGAAACTTCTCTTGGCTAATTGCATCTTCTCTCTTCTTAAGCTGATCCAGTCTATCACTGGCACCTCAGTCTCTCAGAATGTGGTGATTGCCATGTCTGGGATTTCCAAAGTCTTTGTTGGGGAGGTGGTAGAAGAAGGTGAGTAAAAGTGGAATATCTTACAGGCAGAGCAAACTAAGAATGCAGCACTTACCCATTCACTTTAAACAACGAGTTGGCTTTCAATGGACCTTTTGTCATGCCATCTACTTGAAGGAATTAGCTCAGTGTTCTTTTTCAGCAGTCACTCTATCCTGAACTGAATCTGTTCAGTACTTATTGCTAAGGAAGTCTGAACAAAAGAGAGGGGAGCCCACACTAATAAAATTCAGTGATATGGCGAGTTTACCATATCACAATGGAACTTTAGTATTGAAGGACAATGTAGTTGTCATGCATGTGCCTAGCCTTTACATACAGACATTAGATTCCTCAAGAATGACCACTGCCTTCCTCCCCCTCCCCCCAGTTTTGTTGATCCTGGTTGTCTGTAGTTGGTAGCTCATCTGAGGCAGTATAATTACATCTGCTTGAGCTGTCCCTAATGAAGGCTGCGTACGGCACTTGCAGCAACATTAATGCTGATACCAATAGCTCTTTTTCTTTTACAAATTTGAACTCTCCTCCTGCTCATAATGACCCTTGCACATACTCCCACAATTAACCAACACAGGGAGGACTTTTAAAAAAAAAAAAAAGGCGGGAGGAGGGGAAGAGAGAGTAGTCAGGGCATATCTAGTTCTGATACACTAATAAAATGTTTGGAAGTGCAGAGCTCAACAAATTATAGTCAGTTGTCGCAAATGACTTTGTATAGTAGCAGCTTCATAATGAAATAATTTCAGAAATCTCACTGTCTCTGTCTGATTCACGTTGTTTTCTTGGCTTTTGTTTTGCTTAGCACTGGATGTGTGTGAGAAGTGGGGAGAGTTGCCACCTCTTCAGCCCAAACACATGCGTGAGGCAGTCAGGAGGCTGAAGGCCCGGGGACAGATCCCAAATTCCAAGTATAAAAAAATCATCTTCCAGTAACGTGGGCAGGAGAAGGTGGAAGAGGAGCGCACAGTCTTCAGCTGCATACGATGCAACTTTGAAGTTGGTTCCACCTTCCAAGCCTGATGCACTTCCAGCATCCATTCTAATCTTGTGTCTGCAGTCTTCTCCAAACACACCAGAACCACAAGAAACCCCATGGCAAAAGTGCAACTAAACTGAGTTCATAAAGCCTGAGAAGCTGGCTGCAATGCTGCCATGAACAACTCGAGTATGGTAGATGGTTGCTAAAAAGAGAGAGATTCATGGAATGGATGATGTTACCATAGAGGTAACAGTCTTGTTAGGCCTCCAGTACAGGAAGCTCTTTAATACTAGAATAAACAGCTTATCTGTTGTATCACCTGCATAGAGTGCTACTTTAGGCAAGGACTTGAGGGTCTGGATTGAGTTAACACTGTCTTAGTAACAAATTCTGGCTCCTGCCTTTTTTGGAAGTTGCAGACTCAAAGCCTTTGCGTCTTACATTTGTGGCTGGGGGAAAGAGCCATGACCTTCAACATAGAAAGGGACAAGACATTTAAAGGGAGGACCCTGAAAGGCTAGGAACAGCTGCTGCTGCTCTGGCTTTCTGTACAGAAAGGATGGTTTTGTATAATGAGCACTCATTAAACTTGGTGTTGTGTTATGTTGCTACACTTAGTCTCTTTATGTTGTATAAGCTGTTTGTGTAACATCAGTTACCACTGAAGGATGAGTTGTTAGCAGAAACCAAGGGAAAATACAGCTGGACAGCACTGTGCATTCACTACCTTGGTGATTCCTTGAGGCAGTTTTGACAGCTGCAGTTTCCCTCATTTGTCATCTGTCAAGTGCTCAGAAATCAACACCTTAGAATAAAGAAACTGACCATGTAGAGTAACACAAAACACAAGTAAGTAAGGTTAACAAGTTTAATTTTTTTTCCTTTAACGTGGTTCACAGAACCAATACTCACTAGTGGAAATGTTTTACTGCAACAAAGTTCCAATACTGACCAGGACTCGAATTCAAGTCATAGGTGTATAGTACTGTACCTGGACACACTGTGCCCCTTGTTCGAGAAGGCTTCTTCTGACAACTTTGTTACTACCAACTCAAAAGTGATACTGAGGCCACATGCATTCCGCAGGTAACAGCAAGACTGTTACACCAAGGATTAAGTTGTAATGTAGAAAAGTAGAGTCTTTAAACATGTCTCCACTAAAGTAAACTTTCTTTTATAAAATTATCTATTTCAGCAACTTCCCCTCCCTGTTCTGGCTGCACCCTTTGCAGAGAGGAAGGTTGCATTGTACATGTATGTCACCATGAGGCTTGGGGAAGAAGGATGCCTGCATGGGACTTAATTTCAAATAAATAGAAGCACTCCAGGCTTTTGTAAACCTAACAATACATGGATGTGAGCAACTAACTTGCTACAGGCAACTGAAACCCAGCTCTGGTCAGGCTGCACTGGGGGAAAGGAGAGTTCAGCAGCTTTGACATTGCAGTTAGGCACCAGTTTTAGGCAAACCCATCCAGCATTACTCCTTTCCCAAGCTGGATGAAGACTCAGCAGAATATCCATTCAAACAAAGGAGTCACAGAAGCTGGGGAGAGACCCTGCCCTCCCTGTTCAAGCAAAAAGTGAATCAAAGCAAGTGAGAACAGCATCACACCTCACCAGGCAGCACTGGCAGGCATAATTTTACCTCCTGCTTCATGAGGAAGCAGGAATGAATGAATTCAATATCACAGATACTCGAATAAGGAACACTAATTTCTGGTTACATAGAACAGAGCAACAACTTTACAGAGGAATTAAAAAGCTCAGACTTGACACGGTTCACACACTTTTTATACTTACAATGAGCTGTTTGTACATATGTTTCACAGCAGGTTGTTTTAACGTAGGTGCGTGGTTACCTCCTGTTCTACAGTAAGAACGTGTGGGCTTGGTGCCAGCCCTATCCTTAGCACAGGAGGTAACAAGCATTTCTTAAATCCCTGCATTTATTTTTGAAACATGCTATGCACATGAGGCAATAGTGGTACAGGAAGTACCCAGCTGGTCTGTCCCCCACCCTGGTGCTAGAAGTTTAAAGTGCATTGTCCTCCTAATCACAGATTCCCTTTCCTGTAGGAGGGAAGGGCTGCTGGAGTTTTTAACATGGGCAGTAATGCACAAAGAACCTGTCTGGGCCTGTATTGAGAGGGGATGGGATGAGGCACAATTCTCCAGAGGAAGTATCCATTTTCATAGGTTCTGCCCCACATCCAAGGTAGCGCAGTGAATGACTCTCAGGTACAGCATCCAACCAACAGTGCAGTAGTCAGATGGGATGTCAGAAGTGACCTTATCACCTCACCACTGCAGAGCCTTTGAGGCTTCAGCTGCCCAATCTTTGCCAAAGGAAAATCATTCCCACCACATTACCTATGCATGCAGTGAAAGTCAAGCTCTTGCTGCATTCAGGCACTAGTCAGTCCCATCTTGGCAGGCAGGCAGATGCCAGAGATAAGCGTAGCAGTAGAGCTCTGCTCTCTGTCCTGAGGCTGTCTATTCCAGCGTAGCAGGCAAGGACCAACTATGACAGGTCAACCCTACCTTCAGACTAACATAGATAAGAATGCTGGCCATTTTTACTGGGTTCTGATCTGGCTGTCTTCCCTTTTCTCATGCACAGAGCATTTTGCTAAACGCTACAAGGCTCTTTGTGAGCCATTGTTCCACACACCCTCCCCCAGTCTCTACCATTAAACCAGCACGTTAAAGCATGCAGTTTTCTTCCCTGCAACTAAAGCCACACTACGGCCCCTAGGAAAGAGAAGTACGTACATATCTCGACCACTGGTCAAAGAGAAATATATATGCAAGACTAATGGGAAAAATCAATAGCACAAATTGCCTTCTTCCTTTTGTTCAGTTCCCAGATACCAAGCCATCATGGCTTGTGAGTAAGAGTCACAACTCATTACTTGGACCAAGCATAATCCTGACCTTATACGAGTTTATCTAACTTAATTTTAGTGGAGTTAAAAACATAACAGGACCTTTATGACAGACAAAATACCACCAGAATGCTAATTTGCTTTTCAGGGGGAAAAGGTGTTGGGGATCTTGAAGTGGAGAACTAAAATATGGTTCAACAAAGCTTCCATTCTCACATGGCCAGGTCTGGCCTTCCCACAGTTAAGAAAGGAAAGTCACCATCACCTATGCAGTCAGTTATCTTTGTAGTTAAGTTTTCCCCAAGCCAATTAGGTGCACTCTTCTACCTGTTTAACATGCATTATAAAGTGTTGTGTGCATTAAAACCGGTGCATGAATACACCTATAAAATATGGCTGGAAAATCCAACTCAGAAAAGTGTTTGAAATGCATTAAAATCCAAGAAAACATCCACATGCAAGAAGATGCTGTGGGTGGACAGTCCTCAGCAGCACAAAACTGACAAACCTGTACCACGTTTCATGCTAAATTATACAACTTAGTCCCTCCACACAACAGCATCTATGGTTGGGGGCCACTTCCCCTCACACCCTCCCTCCAACTCTTCTGCTGGCAGTCACACACAGTGGCTTCTTCACTGGATGCCTAGACTATACATTAGCCTGGCTAGGAGAGAAGAAACCACACCATTTAGCCCTTGGGAGAACAATTCACGCTTGGGATATCACAAAGAGCATTTTCTCCACTAGTTTTCTACTGATGCCCGCTTCACATTCTACTAGGCATCGTATCTGGGGAAGCTGTCTTTTGACGTGAAAACAGGCACAGACTAGCTTCAAAGACTTCAACTGCTTCAGGACAGTATTTTGGAGAAGGGGTAGCATTTCGCTGGCATTTTACCAGAATGAACACCACAGCTGCTGCCTCGGTCCCATCGCAAGAATAGCAGAGCGAAGAGGCAACCAGAACCATCTCAGAAGAGGTCCCAGTGCTCAGTGTCCTGATGAAACGTAAGCGCCCGCCTGAACATTCAACTGTTGGTTCAGCTCATGCTTCAGGTTGGAAAGCTAAGAAGTTACTGTTGCTCTCCAGGCTTCTGTTTTTGCTGCAGTCTGTGCACCTCTGATAGATAAGTGCAGTTCATAACGGGAGTTTATAGGCCAGCCTCCTTTCCTCAACCATGACCTGCAAAACACTCCATCCATCCTGATTCTTTCCTTCAAAGAAAGGCTAGCTTTGAGAGGAGATGCTGGATTCCCACAGGCTTCAGCATAAGAGATAAAGCTGAACATGCTTTACCTAACAAGTGAGGGAACATGGCAGTCTTGCACTGGGGTACAGGTAATAGCTAGGGTGTCTGGATACTGTGTGGGAAGTGGGGTTCAGAAAGGGTAGATGTTTTTTAAACTAGCATATGCACTGGTTCAATCCCAAGGCAGCAAATGGTTAGTGGAAAAGGGAACTAGAGGGAATCCTTTCTACCATGGCTCCCTGGGTTGCTCAGGGGAAGCTCCAGGCCACATTCTCTCTCCATAGGGGAGAGATTTCTCTATCTCCCACACACCGCAAGCCCTACATTTTCATTCCAGTCTTGGGCTACATCATGCTCTCACCAAAGAACTCTGTGCAACATCCACCCAATGTCTGACTAGGCCTGGCCTTGACAAATTGACCTTATTGCTTTCACCTGTGCTCTTTGGTGAGTGCATCTGGACAAAAAACACACAGGACAATGCTAGAGGAAGAACCAAGCAGCACCACCCGGCATGAGGAGCAAACACAAGAGAGAAAGCATACAGTCAGAAGGGTGAAAGCAGGCAGGTCAGCTCTGCTGTCAACTGACAAGACAAGGAGACCCTGGCTCCTGACTACTGTTCTGGCATTTTGGGCTCCTTGACTGAGCTCTGCACTGGGTCAGTGATAGAGGGTAGCACCACACTGCCAGGACAGAGAAACATGGCTGCCAGACCGGAATCAGGGAGCTCCTCTTGCTCATCCCCCTTCCTCAAGCCAGGCCTGCCTTCCTCTCGTCGCACACTTTGGAGTTCCTCTTACAGCAGCATTTGGGTTCCCATTCCCCCAAGTGATTCCTCTGTACAGAGGTTGACTTGTTTAGCAGCCATGTCACAAACTAGCCACCTCCGTGCTGGTGGTGATCCCTGCTCCTCCTGAGCAGCGGTGGGCAGGGCAGGCCTCTGCTGTCAGAGCTGGAAGAGGGGGTCGTGTTTGCGGATTTCCTGCAGAAGGCGTTCTTTGTCCTTGTTGGCAGCTTCTAGGGCCATTTTCGTGCCCTCCAGCTCCTGCTGCAACTCCGGCACTTCCTTCA